ACGAACCAATTATAAAATATCTACACCGTCTACGAAATGCGAGTAGATATTGCGAATTTGAAAAACTCAGACAAGACGAACAGACTATTGAAGAGGACTTGATTCAATTAAGGTTAATTGAAGGTATGTGCAATGTATCACACCGATATAAAATAATGGAACAACTACAAATAGGAAATATGTCTTTAAATACATGCATTGACTTTATACAGCAACAAGAATTAATATAGAAATACCATCATAAAAGTCAACCCAGCGAACAAATATTTGCTGATACGTACATGTTAAAAAAGATAAAATGTTTGTATTGTGGATGTGAACACAAAATAAAAAGGGAAAAATGCCTAGCATTTGGAAAAACCTGTACAAATTGCTTAAAAAAAAAAAAAAACCATTTTCAAGCAGTATGCAAATTCAAAAAGAAAAACGTTGAAAGAGTTGAAGAAAACAAAACCAATATGGAAGTCTTCACATTAAAAAATAAGAATATAGAAAAAATTGAACAAAAGAAAAAAAAGACATTATACTAAAGGTTAAAATCAACAACTGCAATTTAGATATGTAAATTAATGCTGGAAGTGAAGTAACGCTGATACCAAAAAATTTATGGGAACGCATTGGAAAGCCACCTTTACGAAAGAGCAGTTTACAACTCCGCTAATTTGATGGGTCGGTCATAAAAACTTTAGGATACTTTGAAGGTTCCTTGGAGTTAGAAGATAAATTTGAAGTAATACCTATAATTGTCACAAGTTGTAAAAAGAACCACAGACTTCTTGGAAACGATGTGCTTAATATAAATTCTACCAAATTAATTAATGAGATAAAAATGGAAAAAACCGGAAAGTTAAAAACTATAAAGCGAGTTTAAAATTAAAATAAAATGTCTCCCCCTCTTATTATGAGGCACGAAAATTACCAGTACATTTGTTGCTATTAGTAGTAACAAAACTACGAAAATTAATAGAACAAAACCTTCTTGAACATGTTCCCCCTGGGGGTAGCAAGTAGGCATCATCCATTGTTGTTTTGAGGAAGACAGATGGTGATTTACTTATTTGTGGAGATTACAAAATAGGTGTAAATCACAAAGTTTGTTCAGATTCATATCCCATACCGAATGTTGAAGTTGCATTACATGCACTGGCAGGAATGGGTGTTTTTACAAAAATAGATTTAAAAACAGCATACCACCAAATACCAATAGACGATAAGTTCAAAGAAGTAACCACGATAAATAGGGTTACTAAGATGGAAAAGGATGCCATATGGAATAAAAACCGCAAGCGCCATATTTCAAAGGGCCATTGAACAGGTCTTAGAAAATATGATTTGTTACCAAGACGATATATGCATAGGAGCTACTAATGAAAATGAATTAAAACAGAAAACCCGACATAATCTTGAATAGATTAAGAAATGCTGGAATGACAATAAATGAGAAAAAATGTGTAAGCAATTGTAGTAAAATATCTTTTTTAGGTTATTCCATTTCAAAAGAAGACCAAGCCTTGATAGAAAAAATACTAAAAGTAGCTACACCTACAAATAAAAAAGAACTGGAGTCTGTTTTGGGATTGGTGAATTTTTACAGGCGATATTTACCAAAATACATGGACTTGACTGAACCGTTTGCAAATTTAAGAAAAAAGAAATATTGAATTTATTTGGTTAGAGGAATAACAAAAAGCGTTTGATAGATTAAAAGTAATTATGGCAAAGAAACCAGTAGTGAAAATGTTTGATCCAAAAAAGGACATTACGTTAACCACAGATGCAAGTGAACATTCGATATCGGAAATATTATCATAAGAAGGACATCCGATAATGTATTCATCAAGAAGACCAACGAACACCAAATTTAATTATTCAAATATAGAGAAAGAAGCATTGGCTATTGTGTGGACAACTACTAGAGCCCGACAATTTTTAATTGGGAAAAAATTTCTGTTAAGAAGTGATCATAGACCATTATAGTTTATATTTAACCCAAGGAAAGAATTACCCAAAGTTACAACATCGAGGATACTAAGATGGGCAATAAGATTGATGGCATTTGACTTTGATATAGAATATGTCAAAGGAAATTCAATTCCACATGTAGATGCACTATCAAGATTGCGATTTTACAAGGAGTCAAAGATAAAACAGAAGAAGAATTTGAAGATGCATTCTTACATTGGGTAGAGACTGATGTTTTGTCTTTAGATAGAATGGCTGCGGAAACTAGACATGATCCCGTACTAAGTAGGATAATATCGAGAATAAGAAAAAACTCACGGGGAAATTGTTCTAGGGTGGAAAGACCCTACAAAGAAATAAGACAGAAATTAACGATAGAACATGGAGTGATTTGTAATGGGGATTTGGTAGCCCCCCAGAAACAAAGAAAATTGGTAATAAAAAGTGTACATGATGATATACACTGTGGAGTAGTGGCCACACAAAAAGGGATAAAATTAGCAGCATGGTGGCCGGAATATTCAAGAGATGTTGAAGAATATATAAAAAGGTGCAAAAAATGTAAAGAAGCAAGAAACTTTACACAGACTACTTTACATTCGTGGCCCAGAGAAGTGGAGCCATGGAATCGGGTGCATATGGATCATGCGTATATTACTGGAATGGGAGTCTTATTAATTCTAGTAGACTCTTTTTCAGGCTGGCCTGAAATAATCCGGGTGCCAGACAAGAAAAGTTCTACGATAAAACAGATTCTAAGGGTCATATTTTCCAGAAACGGCATACCAAAAACCTTGGTATCTGACAATGCACCAGAATTTTGTGATGAAGATCATAATTTATGGTTAGAAAAAATAGGATGTAAACCATATAAGACACCCCCATATCACCCTCAGTCGAATGGGTTAGTGGAAAGAATGGTGCAGACCGTAAAAACAGGACTAAAAGCATGCTCTCAGCAAAAAGAAAAAGTAGAAGTTTTTCTACCGAGGCTGCTTTTGAGCTATCGCACAATACCACATGCTGGAAGACTAGAAAGCCCATCAGCTTTAATGGGAAGACAAATTAGAGCTCTGTTAACGATGTCATATTCCACAAATGAAAAAATTTGGTACAAAAAGAACAAAGAAACAAATCCGGAAAGGGCAGAATTTATCATGCAAAAAGGCCACAATACAGCTATAATAAATAGAGAAAACAGCAACAGTGTATTAGCCCATGCAGATCAAATAAGGACCCAGGGTGAATATGAAGAGCTAAATGATGAGGAAATGTCTACAATTCCGTCTGTTAATGATTTATTAGAACAACCATTACAGAATGAAACATCAGAAGACAAAATAATGCAGGATCAAGTGGGACAGAATGAGTTTGAAAGTTTGGACGAAGATCAAATAATTCAAGAAGATGCCTATGATTACAGCTTAGTGCAGGTCAGATCTAGGTCTCCCAGAGAAAGAAATACAGGCGAGAGAGAAGTAGAGCAAAGTAATGAAACTATCACGTACAAGAACTACTAGAGGTATAAAACCTATATGTTTCAGGGAGATGTAGTGATACTGACAAATTAATATGCCTAATTTGCATAAGTGCAAGAGAAAGCCTATATAACTCGTCACTGAGAATAACGTAGGAGGAAGACAAGCTTAGCAACTGACTAGTGCTAAACTTCCACTTCACATCACATCACATTAGTAATAGAACATATTACAACTCCCCCTTATCAGCCAAGATCAAATGGACAAGCAGAATGGTTTGTCCATATGTTTACAAGGCACTAAAAATGTCAGAGGGAGAAGTGTCAGATGAAGTAATGATTCAGCAATTTATGAGTGTTTACAGAATAACACCAAACTCGAACACTGTGTTTGGAATGTCGCCTACAGAGTTGATGCTCACCAGGAAGATTAAGTGTGTTTTTAATAAATTATTACCAGAACACAAGGTGAGAACATCAAGAAATATTAATACAAGTAGATACTTCAAAGATGGAGATAATGTATTTTTTAAGATGTAACTGCACAGAAAAGAATTCTGGGAAGATGGCATTAAAAAAAAAAAAAAGAAAAAAGTCATACATGGTAGAGGGACAAAGGTGGGAACATAAGTGACACCTTAATCAGTTAAAACGTAGATTCACTGATTTAAAAAGAAAAGAGATACCAATGGAAATTCTGTATGACATGTTTAATGTACCCATCAGAACCAAGGATTTATGGCAAAGAAAAACAATGCCAACAGAATTTCTAACTATTGAACCAAAGCTGAAGAAGTATAAATAACAGGGGAAGTCACCTCAAAGGGGAGGTGTTATATAGGAATAAAGTGTCACTTTTGACATTGGAGTTTTAATACAGATCACCAGAGAGCAAAAACTGGTGATCCCATTTTGTATAAGTAGGTCAAATGATGGTAAAGGAAATGTATATATGGGAATTGTTTTTACACTATATACGGATCTCTATTATCTATACTATTTCTCTATACTGATCACTATACAGATTACTATTCAGATCACTATTACTGGTTACTATTTGAGCAAGTGTTATTGAGCAAGTACTATTAGTGTGAGTGTTATTCAAAGGTATCTGATACCAGTATTACTCAACAGCGTTACTATAGTTGTATCTGCAATTACAAAGTCTTTACTACAATGATCATTACAAAAGTGATAAATATTCGTTGACATTACAAAAGTGGCAACGAGTGTTCATTGGCATCACAAAATAAATATGAAGTTTTATTTACGTCAGTTGATCAATACTGATTTTATTTTGAAAACATTGACTTACATAATAAAATCTGACATCTGCAATAATTTTCAACCAATAATGACCATTCACCAACAAGTCAAAACAGGTTCAAAATTAAAAGAAACCTAACTTTGAATTTTACTGAATTAATAAATACATATATAATCTTCAGGTTTGATAATATCTATAATTGATCCTTTATGTAAAGAGATTAATTGGTTTTTGTTAGAATGGCTAAAAAAAAAAAAAAAAAAAAAAAAAAAATTAGAAAAGGATTATTTTTACCTGGATATCTCATAACACCAAGCCAACGTTGTCTCTCTGACTTGTAGATCATATCTCCAAAGCCACCATAACCCATTAAAAGGCCACCAAAAGTGAGAAAACCAGTTGACATTTGGTTGATAGAATATGTTGGCATTTCTCGTAATTTTCCTGTATGATATAAAGCAAATAAAATTTAAAATAAAATTAATTGTTGATAATATTTAAATTAGTGTTGAATGTTTTAGCTTTATTTATTTAAATTTCTTTCATGTCATACGTTTTGCAAGAGGAAAATAAAAATTCATTAATTTTCAGCTATTTTGAATATTGGATATCAATTCATATTTCCAAAGACAAGAACAAGTGAACATGTAAAAAAAATTATGTAGAAATGTGAGTGAAATTCTGCAACAATAAAAAGTCTTAGATTCCAATTTCTAAACTGGTAATTACATCAGATGATTTGTAAATTGCATAGTTGAAGAAGAAATTTCTGTTATTGCCATTACAAGAACAGGAGTATAAGTTTTTCCTTATCAGAAAGAACAGATACATTTAAGATAACTAATAGAAACTGGAATGAAAACTATTAACTCTTTTCACTGTGAGTTCAACAATTATGATCCTCTTTCATCTTAGGTTCCTTGCTTAAAAATTGAAGTCAAGAGATTTGTCTTTTTGCACATTATGTCCCAAGCAAGGTGGGAGTGCCACTAGCATGCAAGGAGTTACAGAGAGAAGGAGCAAGAGTAAAGAGGTGTGATAGAGGAAAGAATGAAGAGAAGGGTGGGGAATAGATCAAGGCATCTGGAGATGTCGATTGACATAGCATTTGAATATTTGGAGATTATAGCTATCAGGGAAGCAAGTAAAAGGAAGGGAGGTCCATAGCAGGAAGTGCGAGACATGAAGCTATTGGAGTAGAAGAGATGGCTACGTTTAACCGTTTCAACAGTGAAAGGATGGGATTGAGATGCCAACCTAGTAGCATGTTTAAATTCATGCAATTTGGGAACCAGCGAAAGTAGCTCATCAGAGCAGTTACTATGAAAGTATTTGTAGAAAATACAGATGGAAGCGATAGCATGTTTGTGAGAGAGTGACTGTAAACGAGATGCCAGATTAGGTCCAATCAGATTGTATATCCGTCTCTGGATTTTGACAAACAATGGGGGCTCCAGACCATATATGTCAGCAGTATTCCATGCAAGGGCGAATGGTTGATTTATAGATTTGAAGGATAGACTCGAGCAAGAAAAACTTTTTGGTGCAACAAAGAGAACCAACTTTCCTTGCAGTAGATGAAGCTATTGATTCAATGTATTTGTTCCATCTCAGGTCAGTGTGAGACCAAGCAGTCAGAGAGGTGTTCTCATGGAGTTGAGCATCAGATATTCTAATGGGAGGCAAGGAAGGCTCACAGTGGTAGGTAAAAGAGAGCAGTTTTATTTATGAGGCATTAAAGTTAACCAGCCATTTCTTGCCCTAAATAGATTGGAGGTCCTTTTTGAGACCAACAGCCAGGTTAGTTTTGTCAGTTAGGCTGGATTTGCTATTGAGGCAAGAGTAAATAGTAGTGCCGTCTGCATAGATGCCTACTTGGAAACTGATGACATCAGGAAGATCGTTAATGAAGATCAGAAACAGTATAGAGTTCAGGATAGAGCCTTGGAGAAGATATGTGTTCATGAGAAAGGAACTGGAGGAGAATCTGCTAAGGATGACCTTCATTACATGGTTTGACAGGAATGATTGTATTAAGTCAAATAACCGTCCTGAAATTCTATATCTCTGAAGCTTACGAAGAAGGCTGGCTTTAGAGATATCTAGAGCCACGGCATGAGCTTCTCTGTTATTGTGAAGTGCTTGGTAAACAAATTCAATTATGGCCATGAGCACATCAGCAGTAGATCGGGCAAAGCAGAAACCATATTACTTGTCAGAGAGGAGATCATGGGATGTAAAGTTATTAACCACTTCAGTGTTGATTAAAGCTTCAAAGACTTTACTGAAGAGTGGTAGGAGACTGATAGGACAGTAGTTAGATCGATCAGAAGGATCACCAGAGTTCTTAAAGACAGACAACAGATGAGGACTTCCAACAAACAGGCTGGAAAGCAAAGAATCGTTTATATAGTTTGGAGAGGACAGGAGCCATTTCAGGAGCACATTTCTTCAAGACAACAGCTGGTATCCTGTCCCCAGTGCTAGCCTAATTTAGAGATGATGCTCGATACCATCAATGGGCTTATGTGCAACTTGCTCAATAGAGCCTCAGTTCTAGGGGGAAATCAGGTGTGGGTACACTGGATGAGTTGAGTGTTGAATTGGATGAGAATTTCCGAGCAAAGTACTCAGCCTTATCAGCTGAGGAAGTCAGGACCTCAAATTGTTAGAATAAAGGAGGTATTATAGGTTTGCTGTTGTTTAGTACGCTCTTGCAAAGACGCCAATAATCTTTGGAGCCGAATTTGCTCCATTGAGGACACGCTTGCACTCATTATGGGCTGAGACAAAGAGACATCTGTTGCAATTTAACATGTTGCTATGGTACAGGCAGAAAAAGTGATTCCTATGGACAACGGCAGCAGAACATGCAGCAGAGAACCAAAGGGATGAGCACAATTTAACCGTATATTTCCTTGCTGGGATGAAACCATCGATTCCAGCTTTTACCCAGGAGGAGACCTCAGAAGCGCATTTTTCTGTCACTACATGGATTATGAAACTTAGCGAAAGTCACTTTTTTAAACTGGGTTACAAAAAATAAATATCTTATATATCATGATGTTAGCTACAGCCATTATTAAATTGTACAGTGATGTAGGACAGCATTTGTGGGAAAAAAATAAATGAAAGGATGACATAAAATTCTCAACATGATGTAAAGGAGACAAAAAAAACCAAGACACAGAACAGAATATAAAACACTACACAAAGAAATAAGGAACAAATGCAGTCAGGCTAAAGAAGAATGTCTCAATGAAAAATGTGCAAAAATAAAAAGAATGAGTATCACAGATAAAGCAAATATGCATAAAAAAATAAGAGAACAGGACAAAAGATATACTCATCAACAGGATGCATAAAATCCAAGGACAGAATGTTGATATTAGAGAAATTAAAAATACTTCAGAGATGGAATGAATATATCAGAGAAATCTTCCACAATGAAAGAGATCAACTGGCAATACACAGAAATATCGACAGAGTTTAAATATTATAAAACCAAAGTGGAATTTGCACTGGCTAAATTGAACAGAAACAAAGTGACAGGACCAGAAAGAATTGTAAGAGACATGCGGGCAGCCTTAGATGATTTCGGCATAGGCAAGATCACAGAAATAATTGATTAAATTTACAACAGTGATGACATACAAGAAGACCTAAGTAAATTTATTTTCATAGCACTACCTAAGAAACCAGGTAGCAAACAAATGTGAATACCATTGGACAACCAGGCTGATGAGCCATATAACAAAACTCATTATCCAAATTTTGCTCTACACAGCAGAATCAGACCAGAAATAGTACAAGAACAGTGTGGGTTCATCAAAGACACTGGAACAAGGAACACAATATTTATTCTCAGAATGTTATCCAAAAGAACAATACAAATGCAGAAAGACAAATACCTGTGTTTTATAGATTATGCAAAGGTGTTTGATAAAGAAGGCACAAAGATCTGATAGAAATGCTCAGGAACCTTAAAATATTTGAAAAGGATATTAGAATAATCAAGTACCGATACTGGCAGAAAACCATCTGCATACAGATAGAAAATAAGTTCAGCAGATATGCAAAATAGAAAGGTGTATAATACAAGGATGTCTTCTCACCAGACTTATTCAACCAAAGTCTTATTCAGCAAAGCAATTAGAAGTCCTACCAGGATTCATTATTGGTGACCACCATCTTAACAGCAGACACAGAAAGGAAAATTACAAAACTTCCTACAGAAATTAGTGAAGGAAAGTGAGAAAAAAGGACTGAACATTGATTGCTTGAAGACAGAATGCATGTTTATTAGCAAGAGGATGAGCCTAAAATGCAAATTACAAATTGGGTATACCAAAATCAAACAAGTAAAAAAAAAAAAATCTAAATATCTGGGAAGTGTTCTAACAGAGGACAGAAAGTGTAAAACTGATAGCCAAAGATGCATTCTCAAAGCTAAGCAAGAATATTAAGAGACAGAAAACTTTGAACAAAGAGTACTGAACTGTTATGTGATCTGTCCTATATGGCAGTGAATACTGGACAATCTCCTCAAAGATGAATAGATTTGAAGCAATAGAAATGTGGTTCTACAGAAGGATGCTGAGGATACCATGGACTAAACGTGTGTGCAATGATTTTAGAGAAAATGGAAACAAAAATGAAACTTATACTTAACATCAAGAGGCAGTTGAAATTTCTGAAGCATGAGGAAAGAGGGCTTGGAAAAACAGGACAGAATGAAGGCAAGAAGGACAGAGGAAAAATGCATGACATACTTAATGAGCTTGAGTAAATGGATGGTGAAGCAGGGTTTAGGAGGAATAACAAAGAGACAAAATTTATTAAGATTTACAAAAGACACAAATTTGTGGAGAGCCATGAACACCTGTCCTGAAGGGAGATGGCACAAAGTAGTATAGATGGATCTCTGATGAATAATGTTTTAACTGTCTTCTCCTAGGTTGAATCAAGTCATTTGTATTTAAAAAATTTAAATATAATTAAAAAAAATCTTAATTCTTCTATTTCAGTAATCCACTGGAACAGTGAAATTTTCACATGAATATACCACAATTCTCAATTTTGATAGAAAAAGGAGTTACAAAATATATTAATTTCTTCTTGATCAATTATTTTTAATTCTGAATGATAATTCTAATTATATTCCAAAAGAACAAACTCAATAAGCAAGAAAGGTCATAAAACCAATTTTTATGGAAAGGATGAAATTAATCTCTTTACAGGTAATCTAAGTTTGCTTGAAAAACAAGTGAAAATTTTGTTAATATTTTATTGTTAATTGTATGATCAACAAAATATAATTGAAAGAGACTACAAGGCTTATAGAAATACACATAAAAATAATCAATATGAATAAGAGAAAGAAATGGTGGTTAAGATTATGGTCTGCACTCTGGCTGGGGATAAGCAACCACTGGCAGGGGTTGGTGTTTGTGTCCAAGCAAAAGCCAAGATTTTAAATGCTCATTTTCAAGACAGGTAGAGAGGCTTACTCTACTTGGAAGATTATGTTGCAGTCTTCTTACCCCTATTTCCCCTGATCTGACCTTGTCTTAATTAAGCTTAGTAAATACTAAAAAGTAATTAAAATGGCAGAATAAAAGTAAAATAGTCTAAAGAAAGAAGTGGTTTGTGATGAAAGTAAGTAAAATTCAAATTTAAGCTCTTCAATCATTAATATTTTGCCAATAATTGTTAGAAGAAAAAATAGCTATAAGCCATTTTGAAAAATTAGAAAGTTTTTAATATATTGTTTAGATATAAACTGAAACAAATTGAAAATCAAAGAAAACAAACCATTTATAAGGAAACCATAACTTACCAATAATAATAGAAAGTGCTGCTGTCACTGGGTCATAGCCTTCAAGAGTCATAGCAATTCCATTACCAGTACCTGTAGGAATAAAAATTCTTTCCAAAACAAACCATAAAGAACAAACATAGAATAGTGTGTTTTCTTTTGCTTATATCAAACTGTTGTCCTCATTGTATTTCAGATGTTATACTCTCTATCTTTCTTCATCTGTCATATTCAGTATCTGAAGAAGACTGGAGAGTATAATGGTCAAAATAGTGACTATAACACTAAAGGTGAAGACAAGGTTTAAATAAATCAATGCAAAATAATTAGTCACCTCAATAAGTCAAACAGTAGTTTTATATATTTATATTTAAACAAGTTGAATTCAATCACCAAAACGTTGAAAGTCTTAACAAATGTCACCATCAAAAGAAACTAAATATATATAACTGAATAATAATGATGACAAAATAGTAGTAGCTCTGAAAATTGATCTTGCTAAAGAATCATGAGTTGCTTTCCATAATAGTGAAGTTTTAGAAGAGTTCCAAAAGTAGAGAAGATTGGCAGTTTTTGATAAAAGAGTGGAAGTCAAATGTAATTTAAGCAAACTTTAAAAAGAATTGCTGCTGCAAAAACATCTGGACTTACAGTATTTGTTATTTGAATACCACAGAAACAGTAAAAAAATCCTCAAGTTAGTGATACTTAATTCATTTATGATGTAATGGAATAACCTGTCATCCCCATGAGTAACAACACTATAGGTAGTAATTACCTATATGTATCTGTAAGTCAACGAACTACAGAATCTGTTGAGTACGACTCGGACATATGCAAGAACTACTGACCTTCCAATAGTAGCACTCACTACTGGATTGACTTGCGACGATCGTGCACATAACTGTTACCTTATTTCTTATTGTAAAGAACCAGTACAATAAGAAATTTACTTATTTTACCCACCATGTTTTTCAAGTATATATTCCTATTAGCATGGAATATAACAAATTGTAAGTTCTGTCAAAATCCTTCATGCTAATTTACCATAATAGCAAACATCAACCCAAACCTCTTTGCAACAATCAAAACTGTTTGAACCAAAATTGTCATTTTTGTTTTTAAATGTTTGACCATAGCAACTCACCACTTGGGATGATACCAACTGGAAGTTTTGATGGTAGCCATTCTGTACCTGGTTGGTCCATGTTAATGCTGGCCTCTTTCTGAACTCTAATTAACAGCCCATTGATTACCTCAAAATAACTACCATCGCCACCAACCACCACCACCCTGCAATAAAAATGTGAGAGGTCAGAATTTGTGTATGTGTGCAAGTTATATTTATGGGTTAAAGTGCTCAATATCAGAGATAGAATTTATGTGAATATAAAAGTCAACACCTAGTGACAAAAGTCTGTTTCATGCTTAAATGCAATCTTCAAGATCTACGCTGTGTTTTGGCTTGACTATACATGCTGGTCAATGGTGCATTATGTGTAGGTGACATAGGCCTCTACATGGACAATAGTCTCATAACAGACAAAACCCAAAATAATCATAGAAATTTTCAAAAATATGAGATTCAACATAGACATAAAAACTAATCTAAAAAAGTAGATTTCTTAGATTTCACATTCAACCTAAGAAAACATAGATATCAACCATATAGAAAACCCAACAACAAACCATTTTACATATACACATCTTCCAACAAGCTGCCACTAATAATGGAGCAGATTACATAATTAACTGCAAGTTATGTGAAAATTCTTTCAATGAAACCATCTTCAATGAAGCCAAGAAAGATTATGAAACAGCTTTAAAAGATAGTGGATTTTCGGAAACATTCACATATACACAGTACAAAAAGCCAACCAGAAAAGAAATATCATATGTTTCAACCTACAAAAATATAAAAACAAATATAGGAAAAGTATTAATTAAAAAACATTTCACCATCACTCTCTACAAGATATTCAACAAAAACATATCAAAATCAGTTTCAGTTGCACTAAGAGATATGACACAAATAATAAAAAGTATAACAGAAAAATTTTAGAGATTCCATTAAAACTATAACATCAACCTAAAAACTCAAGTCATGTTCTTAAATAGCCTTGTCAGATCAAGACTTTTGTATATATATCCATATGAAAGTATTCATAAGTATCTAAACTGTCAGCTGTATACAACCGATTGCTAAAATCAATGGTGAAAAACAACTTTGAGCGAGTGAAGCATGAGGGTCATCTCTCTTTGAAGATTGTAGACTGGCACTACAGATTCACAGACAAAGAACTGTACCAAATAACAGAAACCACATCACTTGAGGATGACCAAAAGCAGCAACAGCTAAAATGTATATAAACTGTAACTTGAAGAGAAAATAATGGCATCATCAAGATGTTGACATTCCACACTACTTCAAATAAAAGATTAGCAAGGAAACTCCTATCAATACTGGAAAGAACAAGACTTTATTTCATCCACAAACAATACTGACTGCTCAGTCAATGAATGCCAAATATTACCATTATCAGTTGTGTTTTATGTCATCAGAAACAGTTTTTGAGGGTTTGATTTAATATGAGTAATCACAAAACTTTGGAAAATCAAAGATATTCATATCATTTGAAGTTCATTTTTCTGCAGGTGAGTATTTTGCCAATTACCTGTATCTAACATAATAAACCCTGCCTGTTGCAGCTATGTCCCGTCTCCCTGGTGGTTCTGGCCGAAAAAGGAATCCACTCGATCTCCCCCCAGTGAACTGAAGGAACCACCACTATTCGCCACGTTGTGAATTCTTGAGCCGAACAGCAGTCTATTGGTCTCCCCAGAATGGTCCAATGGGAAGGGGAGGAAATGGCTGGGTATTACACTGAAAGGAAATCACTATTCATGCAAAAAAAAAATTTCTTGTCATAGCCGCAAAGACATGAAAAAGAAAAAAATAAGCAACTCTTTCAGTTCCTGTACAAAGAGCCCTTTCTAGGCTACTGTTTTTATGTTACTACCGAAGAATTTACATGAGTACAAAAGGTTGTAACGAGGTTCACTCATTTGGGGTCGGAAGTGACAGAGAGAGAGAGAGAGAGGGAGGGAGCAGGAAAATTTCTGCCTAAACAATTTCAGATGATCTAAGGGAAGTAATTTAGGGATCTTCATCGGAGCATGTAATTATAGCAGTTTGGTTTCTCAGCCTCATTGGCAAAGTTAACTGGTTTCATACAGGGTCTGTTTCTATTTCTGGGTTCGGATCAGACTTCTTGGGCGCGTGACAACCAACCAACCAACTGGACCAGCAAATTCCAACAAGCCGTCTCTTCCCCGGATCTGCGATCTGACTAACTCAAGTGTGTGAGCAGCTTATATAGAGAGAGGTGGAGCTAAACCATCTTTAGGCACCGCCCCCAAATTTTAATATGCAAATCGCCTTTGACCACCATGCAAGATTTTCCGGTCCCCGAAACTCAGCAGGAACCCAGTTTTTAAGAGATACTAAAATCGGATTTGGACCTCCTGCTGGGTCTTCCGCAGACAACATCTACTTAAGTTTTGCCAAAACCACTTATCCCGTCTGGTTGAATTCCGCCATTCAGACCACCCAAAAGTCCAATTCGCCATTTATCACAAACTTTACTTTAACGAATCCGTCTCTTAATCACTCTGGAATTATTACATGTAATTAACTAATAACTCAACTCCAGAAACAATTATTAAGAGAAAAAAACAAGAGAAAAAAAAACAAGAAAAAAAAATAAACGTATTTCTGGAATTACTCTGAAATACCTTCTACCCAAGTAATTAGCACCTTCATCCTAATTCTTTAGCACTGTTGATTATTAAATCCACTTCTTCTCTCTCTATGTCACATGTAGATGTTTAAACATTTTGTTTAGTTTGTCATCAGCCAGGAAATTAGAAGAATTTATAGTTTTATTCCATTAAACCATTTTTCTTCCTCTCCAGTACTATTTTCCCTTTCATGTCCTGCTTTATCAACAGCTGACTGTTGTTCAGCATAAGCACAACAAACAAGAACTTGTGTACATTTTTTTTTTATATTGGGATAGGAAAGGAGACCCTCTGTAATGAGACTTTCTGGAGAACCAAATGATTGATTCAAACAGGTCCTGTTTTTAATCAGTACAAATGAAGGAAGCAATTGAAAAAAAATATGGATCAGGCTAAAATTGTTACAGTTTAGCTGGAAAATTTAAACTTATTCACTAGATCAGTGGTTTTCAACCAGTGTTCCACCAGTAAAGCCCATGGGTTCTGCAAGAAGTTACACAAGTACTATGATTGGAATTTGAGCCATCTGAAGAACAGTTTACATTAACAGAAGAACTTGCAAGTGTTTCAAGTGACAGAACATTAAAATTGATGCATTCTGGTTGCTGGTTAAAAAGGAATATCCTGCAATTGCCCAGAAAGCACTGTGCCTTCTTATGCAGTTTTCAACATCCTACTTGTGTGAATTTGGATTTTCAGCTCTGACAACCATCAAGTGCAAGAAGCGAGCACAATTGCTGTCTGTGGAAGATGAATTTCGTGTGTGTCTGTCAAAAACACGACCCAATATTAAAGATTTGTGCAAGAAACATCAGGCTCAAGTTTCTCATTGAATTTTTAATGAAAATAAATGTAATCCATTTAAATTGAAGTTTTTTAATACATGTGTAATAACCATAGAAGCAAGATTAAAATTGCATATGTATATATACAATATTTTTACAGTTTGTATTTTTTTGTAAATAAATCTGAAGATGAGTATTTTTATTTAATTTAATAATTGAAAGCTTTTTTTTGCATAAGACAATTAATTTATTGCAGAGTTTCCTCAAGCCACTGGAATGTTTCTTTGTTTTCCCAGCAAAAAGGTTGAAAACCACTGCACTAGATATTGCATCTTTTGATTAGAATTTATTCTGATCTTTACAGATTTCTCCAAATAAAAAAAAAGGTTTATTTCCTTAGAAGACTGCAAAAAGGCCCTACTGCATTCTTTGCTAAAAAGATGAAAAGTTCTGTGTGAATTAAGAAGTTGACTGGAAGTTAGAAGTTAATAGAAACAAAATAGCAAATATGTTGTTTAATAAAGTTAATGTTGAAAATAAAAAGAATTGTTTTATTTTTTACTTGAACTGAATTTTCAGCCACTATACATAAACAATATAATTTTTTATTTTTAGGAATTTTTTTTTTAATATAAGAAAATAAATTCAATTTTCTTACGCATCTATATTGCTCAGGTCATATGTTCCCAACAAGTTTTTGGCATGGTTTTTCCTTTCTGTCACTAAAAAGAAAGACAATTTAACATTATTGCTGTCAACAAAATCATGGTCAGCTGATCAACAATAGAATAAACAATTCAAATAGCAACAAACAAAAATCTTTGTTGTTTATATCACACACCCTGTTTTCATGTCTGGAATTTTGTGATGAGTCATTAGCATTATTCTGTAAGAGGTTTATCTATTTAGTCAATTCTTCTCAACCTTGTTGGTTTTGTCACTGCATACCAATCTTCAACTCCATGACACACTGCATAGTTACCATTATTCAGAGGAAGGGAGGAATTATTAGATTGCTGTCTCTCTAATTCATTGGCATTTTAGTTTACTAAATTTTCTAGCACAAGTGGGAAACATTGATTACATGTGTTTTTCATTTATTTTGAAAATTGTCTGAAAAATTATCACGAAATTTTATCTATTTAGTCAATACAGTTTTTAGACTGACAACTTGATTAATGCTGCCTGCAAGAATCTTAACCAAATTAACTCAAAGAAAACTGAATAATTAGTTGCAATGAATTGATAAAACTATTAAGGATATGAATAGTAAACATTTGTGTAATATAAGGAATGTTCAAAAAGTAAGGTGCAGATATTTACAAATCCCAAATGTTTATTACAATACAAATAAAATATTGTGTATATATATATATATATATATATATATATATATATATATATATATATATATGTGTGTGTGTGTGTGTGTTACCTGCTACACAACGCTTACTTTTTATGTAGTTGTTATTGAGATAGATGCACATTTTGGTACATTACAGCATAAAAAGAGAGAATGGTGTCAACATTCAGGTAGTAAAAACAGATGATAATCTAAGTTAGGAGTTTGTGGTGGATACAATAGAACATTACAACCATATTATTAGATCCATTCTTTTGTCAAGTTGGCTGTTTGCTGGGTGGCAGTATCATACAGCAGGAATGATACCTTTAAGAAAATGTCCTGGTCATTCAAAGAAGAACGTCCTGCAGTCTGTCCAGTTTTTCACAGTATCTCACTGTCTAATAATATTATAGACCAGAACAATTGTGATCACTTTCTTTGCCGATTGATAAACTTTGAATTTTTTTGTATGCATTTTGGTGGGGGTGGGTGACATTAGCTGTTTCCAGGTTGTGGAATCAACTTTTGCTTCTAGGATGATGTGGTGTGGTGTACTTGGTTTCATTTGCATGAAAATGCACTCTACAAAGTCCCCATCAGCTCGCCTATGCCATTACAAAAGCTTAGAAAGAAATGCCCATGTGCTGCAACTTTGGTTCTTCAGTTAATTGCTTTGAGGCTAAAAAGATGGATTTTTGTCCTTGGCAGGTAAAAAGCCTATTACCCATAGCACAGTCATCATTGTCATAATGTCACATGCCCATGTGCTCAGTAGTGAAGTTGTTCTAGTCGTTATAAGAAGTATTGCATACCTCTATGTTGCTTTGTGCTTACTGCTTTTTTAAGGTTTTAATCTCAGTTAATTTATGCCATTCTGCACCTTACATTCCCCTCATAACTATGAGTTATCTCAGACAATATTAATAAAAAAGTTATTTTGACTTCTGAATTCGTTAAATAGCATTTCATTATATTGTAAATTTTGTTAGAAATAGTGACCTTGAATAAAAAGCAAACCACTAATAGACTTTTTCTAAGAACTCTAAAAACAAACATTTTGAGAGAAGAGCTTAAAAAGGAAGATTTACTTATATGTGTAAAATTTCAGATATAACTAAAAATATATCTGTAAGAGGAAAGCATGAATAAAGACAAAAGGTAAACTCATCTTAGCTGACACGTTTTATTGTTTAATAAAGCCCATCGGAAGACAAAACATGTTGGCTAATATAAGTTTTCCTTTTGTCTTTATTCACACACACATATATATATATATATATATATATATATATATATATTACTTACCTATTACATCTGTTGTAATCTTGCAGAGGCTAAAGAGAGGGGCAACTTTTTCATAGACTTTTTTCCCTTTCCGTCGACCACTTTCAGGATTGACAAATACCAAAATTCGCTTTGGCCTTTTGAGGACTTAAAAAGCAAAACAAAAATAAAATAAAATAAAAATAATTTAAAAACATTCTTGCTGTAAATTTTTTTTGATCTTTCTTTACTGTCATTTCTGAGAGACATTAAAAACTTTCATCAGTATTCATCTTTGTGATTTGGTAATAAACAGACATAAAAAAATAGGATACTACCAAAAATGTTTATAATTAAGAAACAATAATAGGTAAAAATTAATGTTTAGCATGCATAATTTGCATTTATTAGATTTATTAAAAATTTGCATTTATTTATTATTTATTACATTAATAATTTTATTAATATTCATAACCATATTACTGATAGTAATTACATGATTAATATTATTAACTATAATACGATATTACAAATGACTTTCAATGTTATTATTAAGAGCTGCCTTCTGTCAATAATACTTCCTTTAATTCCTGACCACTGACAATCCATTCCTTTCTGGATTTTTATCCACATTAAATGCTCAAACACATTTTAGGTAAAAAGATTTTAATGTTTTTAATTTTTTCTCTAATACCCCAAATTCTTAGTATAGAAAATGACTAAAACCAAATATGGCAGTAGTGGAAGATTGGTTAAGCCAAAACTTTGCTTACATGTACTGGATTCAAGTGTAGTCAGCACTAAAAGACAGACAAATGATTTTATTTTCAGATTCTGATGTGTTTTTTTAAGGCATTTTAAATAACTCCCAACTATGATATCATAGATTGCATAAATAGTTAGGCAGGTTGGATGCAAATATCTTCTACTTAGCAAGAGAAATTGTAATTTGCAGCATTCTATAAAACCAGGTACCAATTTTGCACATGTCATCCAAATATGTAACATAACATCAAATCAAGGTCTAACTTAAAACATTTCAATATTAGATACAACCAAGAAAGATTCACTTACAAAACAGTTTTAAAATATAAAAAAAAATATTGGAGGCTAAATCTGGAAATGACATTGTCTGGGCTTCATTAATGGCAATTTCATTTTCCCAAGGTTTTTCTTTTTTTAATTAATAAAAATTGTGCATGTTTTAAGTAGTTTTGTTTATTCTGAGTTTCAACTTTTTGTAATCCAGTTTTACTGCTAATAATTTCAACTACCATAATTTTAAATTTCCTACTGCTGTTTTGGTGATCAATAGCAGTAGCATCAACTTCTGAGGGACTGTGAAATATAATCCATTTGTTTGACTATATTTCTGAGATGAGGTATTGTAACTACATTATTTACATTGTTCAGATTGCTGTCCTCATTTTTATTGTCTTATTCATGATGTTTCAGCTGTTGTATGCTCCATTGGACACATGGTCAAGTGGATAGGGTCATTGGCTGAAGTGATCCAAAAGCGACTTGACCCAAAGAGTTGTCAGTTCAATACATGGCAACAGCAGAGGTGAACAAAAAACTTGGAGTCACTAAAGGAAATTAACTGAAACCAAGATATACAGAAAAGGCATAAAACTAGAACAATCCACTCGTGTTGACCAAATAAAGGGTTCAGTTTTAACTTCCAATGTATATCACATGAAGAAAGCTGGAGTGTACAACAGGCAAAACATTGTGAACATGGCAATAAAGATGAGGACAACAGTCCAAACAATGCAAATTGTGTAGATAATCCATTTCTATTTGATTTTTTTCATTTATTATAATAACTGGTTTGAATTTCACTTCTGCTATAGTATTAAAGAAATAATTATTGTTTCAAACACAAAACTGAACTTTTTGAAAGAGAAAAACAAAAATCATTGGTGGCATAATATTTGTGAAGATATGAAAGTTAAAAAATGTTAAAAAAATCATTAATGATCAATATTTTGTGCATTTCAATCACTTGCTTACAGGAAAATTATTTTTTTTATGTGTTATTCAACTTACTTAATAGATAGATAAATTAGTCAGCTATTGGTTTAAGGATATTTATGTAGCCTAACCAGGTATGATCCAACATCTTAGATCCTTCTTAATCATACTCACCAGAAAGCAAAAGGTTGTTTATTATTTCAGCTGTGGTAGAACAATCAGATTCACTTCCGTAAAGAGTCAAGATATTGTGAATTAGTTTTTTCTCTTTGCAGTCTTTGATGTAGTGGATATTCAAACTGGATTCTGGTTTTCCATCATTTTCAGATAGAAACTCTGCAGACATCAATTTAGAGATGGATACTGCAAGCAGAACAAAGATGACAATTTGAAGTGAGCATCAACTCTGCAAACATCAATTTAGAAATACAATACTAATAAATTCATATATTTTGATGATATAGAAAAACAAAAAAAAAAAAAGAATATTTTCTGTATACAGTTGGAAATTGTCTATCTCTTTACATATAGGATAAAAAAAGTATAATTCTAAGGTATGGTATACTTATTTTTTCAAGTGCTTAATATCAGGGATAGAGTCTATTTAAATATAAAAGTGGACATTGAGATCAACATCCAACAGCAATTTAAGCATGAAAAATGTTGTCACTGGATGTTGACTTCAATGTCTATTTACACATACATATAATTTAGAAAAACATTTATCAGAAGAAATATTCTCTTAACTTTTTTATTTGATTGACATTGTAGAGCCCAGGTTGTGTAAAAATAACAGTTTTCATACCTCAGAATCATTAATGAACATAATGAAATTTTAGCAGGTGAATAGGTAGAGACCATTATTAAGATATGAATTTTATTGTATATTAATAAATCAATAGGTAGTAAGGACAGTTGTAAGAAAAGAATCAATCTTGTAGAGAGATTAGGATGTGTAACAATACATACACACAGTGAATGTATATATTGTCTAAATATATAGAATGTAAATAAAGTCAACAATCTTGTTTTTAGTTGACTGATGTTTTTTATGGCTTATCAATCTTTTGTAGTTTATTTAAAGTTCAAAAATATTTTTTAGATTGTATGATTGTATTTTTTTTTTTTAGATAATAATGATTTAGTGATACAAATCTTACTAATTAACCCATAGCTGGAGGGAAAATGGATGGATTCATATCTTTCTCAAGAGTATTTGTGCATAAGTGAATATAATGAATCCAACTATAATTGGAACTAAGCTCTTCAATTAAGAATTCCAATTAAGAATTCCAATTAACAATTCCAAGCCATTATCCATTACACCACCCACACGTCCAAGCTTACAGTACCTGGTATTCACATCTAGATACTGACCAGGCTTCAGTGATCATATGGCAACTGGTGTTTCAACAACAACAACAAAAAAAATGTTGTAGTTTCTGTTTATTTTTCCTCCAGTAAAGACATTTACTGTTGTGGTAAGATAGATTTTACAAGTGTATGAATAGAAAGTGACTATTAATGTAGAGACCTTGTGGATAAGAGTTAAGAGTGAATGAAAGTGAGAGAGACAACAGTAAAGGAAACTGAATCCAGGAAAATTTCATATACGAGATGAAAAGAAAGAAAAAATGACTTGCAAAGAGGGAAAGAAAGAACAGGGAAATGAAGAAAAGCAAAAGCAGAGAGGAAAATTAATGAATGGGGAAAAAAAAAAAAAAAAAAAAAAAAAAAAGTGTAATAAAAAATAAAAAAAAATAAATAAACACAGCTGTCAATTTGCTAAGTATAAATACAATTTTAGTCCTTTGTTGGTAGGGAAAGAAATTTGTAGGCATATTGGAATTACCACCTCCTAAGAGTAATTAGAGGTGGCACAAGATTTGAAGGTCTCTTTCTCTTTTTTCTTTGATTTTAGGAACAGCAAAACACATTCCCTTTCTAGCTGATAGACTTCAGAGACACAGTGACTGTAGGTTGCTTTGAACTCTTCATTATTTCAACTTCATTTCTTATATTACCCTTCTGTAATATGTTTTATTAATACATTTATTAAGTGTTGCTTGAATTCATTGATTTTGGTTGGATTCACAGACTATTTGCAGGACATATGTACCAGGAGGCATAAAATGAATAACTTCCATTCCTGCAAGAAAGAGCCTTCCAGAATTTAAGCAAAGTATAAAAAGATGAAAATGTTATTATAAGCAAAGAAAAAAAAAACTGATAAACTTCTATGTCATATCTGTTCTCCCATATAGCAATAGATACTGGACAATTTCCTTGCAGATGAAGAAGAGACTCTTAGTAACAGATGTGGTTCTATAGACAGATGCTGAGACCATAGACAGAAGATATGAACAATGAGGAAGTTCTAAATAAAATGGAAACTACAATGACATTTTTGGGACATATGAGAAAAGAAAGCTTGGAAAACTTAATACTCACAATATATTGAAGGAAGGAAGTGCAGCAATTAACATACATATTGAGCTTGGGTTAACAGATGCAGAGTGGAGACAAAGAGGCAATGACAATTGGTCAAACATTGCTTAAAGTAACCAGAAACATTGTGGAGAGGCATGATTGCTCATGTCTTGAAGGGACCAAAGTCCTTTATTCTTTTATGTGATGTAATCTTGTAGTGTATAATAAAAAAGAAGGGAACAGTTGTTAAATTCACTCATGTGACAACACAGCAAAAACTGAGAACTTTCAAAAATCAGTATTTTAATGACAAAAAATAATACTGATTTTAGGATGTGGGTCAGGCTGTGAACTTTTCAGTAAATTTAATATAAAATTTTATTTCAGTTTATATAAAGCCCTCTTGCAAGATGTGATGGAGTACTAGGAGTAGAAGAGAATGCAATTTTTTGTTGAGGAGAAAGGACAATAAAAGAACAGAATTCAGAAAAACAAGAAAATGTTGCAATTAAATTTTTGAAGATAGAATGGATGCTAGAAACTGAATGACATTTAACATAATTATCAATAATAAATATATTTTTTTCTGTAAAGAATTACAAAAACTTCAAACTCATAATTATTTGTGAGACTAAAAATAAATATGATAATATCTGACAAAGAATGATAATTTCTACATGTAATAAAAAAGTATATTGATAAGACATTGTGAACATTAAGTAGCCATTTTCCTTAATATATATTTTATATTGTCTCATTATTTAAACCACATTTGAAATGTAGACAACAGGGAGAACAAACAAACAATACATGTGACTATTCTAGCAATATTTTTCTGTATACTGTTGGCAAGCATTTGAATTTGGGAAAGAAAGTTGTTCAATTGAAACATGTATATAAGAAATGGCTATCATAGGCTCTGATTTGTTCAGGTATTCAAGGAAGTTTTTTAGTCATTATTCCAAGACTTCAGTTAATTTCAGATGACCCTTCAACTTTAGTGAGTACATAATTCTTCAGATTGTATCTAACAACAATGTGGGTGGAGGAATCTCCTGTCCAGGATGTTACCAGACCAATGACTGGAATAATTGGCTAATGCTTCCAGCTATAGTGTGATAGTGATACCGTGACCAAAGATTCCGCAGAAAGACACACAGTGAGTTAGTGATCAAATTAATGAGACTATCTCCAGCTAGTATGTTACATTCTAATTGGTAGCAATCTTCTTTAATTAACACTTAATTAGAGAGATAACATTAGTACCACAAAGAAAGGTTAGAAAGTTATACAAGCACACATACAGAAAAAGAATGGGAAGGGATACATATATAATTTTAAATTTGATTGAAATTAAGTTAAAACAAGACAAGTTAAACAATGAATTACTGACAATTACAAAAAATATATAAAAATAAACTGGGCTCTAGTTTTTTTTTCTATACTTATAAAAATTAACAATAACAATTAACTTTCATCATTTCATGCTAACCAGATATAAGGAGTGCTGAAAAGTTAATGACCTAATTCACTTTTAAGCACCCCCCCCACCTCAATTTTGCTTATCTTTGTATCAGTGTTATAGTAAAAAGCAGGAATTTAATATTTGCTTATTTTATAAAACGCTCAAAAATAAAAGTTTATTCTTCTGGTAAGTGTTTTTTGAACATACCCTTGCACTTTTTTTGGCATCTACCAACAGATAACTGAAAGCATACAGATACAACCTTGTCTGACAGACCAATTTCTTAGCAAGTTCAATTCTCACCAGGTTTACAACCATATCTTGTTGAAACATTGGTTCTCATACAATCACCAAAGTTAAGTAAGTCTGATCAGTACCTAGATGAGTGATTGCTTGGATGTGCAGGTGGTGTAATTTATAACAGCTCAGAATTGGAAATTGAAGTGTTGTGTTCCAATTCCAGTCAAATTCATTATATTCACTTATGTGCAAATCCAACTCTGCTCCCTCCAGCTATGGGTTAATTAGTAGAACTTGTTTCAATAAATCATTACCTTAAAAAATTCTTACAATCTAGAAATATTTTCTGGCTTTAAATAACCTGCAAAAGGTTGATAAGCCATAAAAAACAAATCAAATAAAAAAAACAAAAAAAAATCCTCAACAGATGCTCTACTACTTGTGCCACTAATCTAAACTTAGTAAACATATTAAAGCTTGTTGTAGTAACTGAGAATTATATATTTTGCTGTTTGAGTCTGGATAAAAGGCTAACATTTTAAAAGGCTTATTTTAAGCCAGACAGGTCCTGTTCATTTGGAAGAAGTCTTTATTTTGTATGGCACAAGGATTAGTAGGGTCAATATTGAGAAGCATTTATCTTCCTTAAATTGGATTAACTGAATTATATAGAGATAGTCTATGAAGAAATTGAGATATACCTTCATTATGAAAAAGAAAAAAATTAATGTAATTAATGATAAATTGAGAAAATACTTACATTGAAAAAAAGGTTCCAGCTTTGAATTGCCACTTTCAGTCTGTAAAGTCAAAAAGTCTGAATCCACAAAAAGGTTTGTCTTCTTTTTCTGCCAGGTGAACATCAATGGAAACCTGGAGGATGTTTTGTTTCCATTTGATGCTGACTCACTAGAGCCAAGGTTCTCTATAATATCGCCACCCCTGCCATAACCTGAGTATTGTTCTTGGAACCACCTACCTGCAAAGATAGAAGTCAGCAACAAGTCTGTCCAAGAATAAACATGCAGCTCAGAAATTTCAAACTCAAAAGGGCACAAAAAGGCCATTACATGCTGGGGGGGGGGGGAGTTTCAGCAGGATAGAAACAGGAGGAATGCAGACTTTGTGGTTAGTTTCCCAACCATGGACCCACAAGCTGATTAGAATAGAGAGAGAGAGAGAGGTGGGGATGTAGTCAGGCAAAATTTCACTATATTCCAGTTGTTTATGTTAAGTATAACTTTAAAAAAAAAGAGCAAAATTTACATGTAATTTCTCAAATGTGGGACAATAGGCAACCCTATCTCAAAATATATCCACTTTTCTTGAAAAATTCAGTTCTCCTCAGCAATTTTCCTTTTGACATTGTCAGCATTTTTCTTTTTTGTTCCAATTATGTAGTTGACCAAAAGCACATCTTTCTTTTCCTTGAAATTTCAGTTTATTTAACAATCTTCTTTCTAACTTGATTTTCTGATTGTGTTATTTGTCTTTTACTTCATGTACCCAACTCCAATATGAGATCAGAGCTCATCCTCCTCTCCTTATAAAAAATATCTTCATTTACTATTATATGCCAGTATAAGTATCCAAATTTATCCATTTCAACTTATATATATATATATATATATATATATATATATAAAAAAAAAAAAAAACTTGTATAATTCTATATTTATTTCAGCTTTTCCTAATATGGGTTGTCAAATTGATTTCTTATATAATTAAAAGGAAAGAGAACAAGAGATTATTGCAAAGTACATTTGTACTTTCAGTTAGTTGATGAGGAAAAGGTAATGGTGGTGAGATTGTGTTTTCTTCCCTTCCCAGGAGAGAAACTAGAACAGACCTTGTTGACCTTAAAAATTGATTGTATTTGGTGGGTTGGTCAAGCTCAATAATACTACTACAAAAATATGTAGAGAGAGAAACAAATTTATTAAAGTTATTTGAGGAATATATTTGTCATGAAAATGGTTTCCCATAGGCCATGTTTGAAACCCCTGACATAGCTGATCATTATATAGCCACAAACCATTTGCAGACACACTATGCTTTCAGGATATTGTTTTGAAAATTTGAATTCCCAACCATGGGGTCCACAGACCCACGACAAAAAGAAATTTAATTATCATTGTAGTAAAACAAACTTTTGGAGTCACTGCATATTTATATATTTATGGAATTGTTTTTAAATTATAAAAATGTAAAAGGTATAAAAAAGCCTTTAGCTTTTTATGCCAAATAAATTAAAAAAATTTTTTAGATTTTGTAGCTGAAAATCTGCAGTCTATCTGAGGAGAAGAGATAACAAATGTTGATACCTGCTTTTTTGACTACAAATAATACTTTATCAATCTCTTATGTATATTCAATAGTTGTAGCCTCAGAACCTGCATAATTTACGTCCTCATTTTATGATATTAGTTTTAATATGATCTTATCAGATATGCTTGTATATAATAGAAGTGAATGATGTGAATATTTTTATGCAAGTTTCTACAGAAAAAATATACCAGATGAATATTTGTGACTATTCTGTATTTTACAGAAAGTTTTGTCAGTTTTCAAATACATGTATTAAGAAAAATTAAAGGATATAAATATTTAGTTATCAGTGGCTGAAATGTAGCGGGTGGGGAAAAATCACAAAAATGAATGTGTTCAATTGTCTGAAAATCTCCTTAAATGAATATGACATACCAAAATTATACACACCATAGTTCTGTTCCCTTTTTTAATAATCTCTCAACAATTTTTTTTTAGTAGATTTACTATGTATTTATTCTTGCTGATAACAAATTTTATACATCCTAAACAGGAAGTGGATCCCAATTTGTCGTATGTCCAGAAGTCGCTTTCTGTCTGCAATCCGTCTAGTCTCGCCGAAGCCTAGAAAAGCAGTGGCCTCCCGTCCACTCGCCGGGTTTTTAATCGGTAGCGTGGTTCTCTTATGCAAATAAGTCTGCTGCATAAAAATGGCAGTAGGCGCACGCGCGACCGACTCTCAGAGAATGGTTCGACACGCGAGGCAACGAATTCGCTTTGCTCCTGGTAAGTCACTGTCACTCCTATTACAAGTAAATGCTATTGCCAATTGGTCAATATATATGAAAAATAGCAACAACACCCACACAGTAATGTTTAAAGTGAGCTGACTGCCAAAATTTGTAAATGTGTTTGTGAGCCTATCACGTGACTAGAAAACAAATTCAATGCATAAGCAAACCTTGTCTGTGAGCATTTCTACATGACTAGTAATTGCCAAACTAATCCACGACACTTGTATCATTGAAGTGCAAAGTTAGAATTTCTAGTTTCTTCAACATGAAAACAACTTCATTGTAATTCAAGTTAAAATATTCAACTCAATCACTCACCGACTTCTTCTGGATTCATTTATCACTTATTGAAAACTTCTCAATTACAGTATTGATTTTCGATTGAATCTACAGAAGATTCTTACAGCGGAATTTATTGTTCAAGTTTAATTCTCAACTGAAGAACAACTACCTTCCAGAATTCTTGTAAGATATTTTTTATGCAATCTTTGGCACACACAAGCATACAGTCAAAGGCAGACAACTTTTGTTACTAAATTCTTACATTACAAATTTAATTTCAGAAACGGTTTTACAAACTGTTTCAATTTAAACAAGTTTATCTAATAAATTCTATCAAAATTTTATATAGTAATATAAGACAAAACATTCAATTTAGTGAACTCAACCTCACATTACACTGCACATTATAAGAGTTTAAAAGGCAAATTTAAAATCCACCAACCAAATCTCATTCACTAAAATTCAACCAACACATTTATTGTGTATTTTGTTATATAAAATATTCTTATTGTTGTTGTTATCTGAGATTTGTTGTTTTTGTCCTATTTATGTTTTATCAATGTTGTGGAATGAAGAAATTTAAAATGTGTGTGGAAATAGCTAATTCACCTACGCAACCTTCACTTTACTAACATTTATGGCCCGACAAAATAGTTAATTAGCATGTCTCCACCACAAATTGATGACCCTGAGATTTGAAAATTGGTAACCCGATGTTCAGCAATTACCACCCAAGGTTTCAAATTGATAACACCATCGTTTGAAAGTTGGCAAACATGACGTTTTAAAATTGATCACTATGATGTTTAAAAATTGGCAACAACATGATCTTTGAAGATTGATCACCATGACGTTTGAAATTTAGTCACACCAAAGTTTAATACCAATATTCAAAAAATTAACTTCTACCACATAATTCATAACCATGACACTCGTTGGTCACTACCCAATTTTCACAAATTAATGAAATTGGTTACGATGATGTTTAAAAAATTGATAACTGTAACATTACAAATTGATAACCCCAACATTCAAAAAATTTTTTTTTAATTCAATGTTTGGAATTCCCAACCGATGTGCAAAAAACATTAACGATAGATTACCACACCACACAACATAAAATGATGACTGATATATTAAGAATTACTCAGATTTCAGATTAGTAACTCTGACATTTGTACCAACGCTTAAAAATTTGGATCACCACATACTGTTAAACCCAACTTAACTGGTATCCTAACTCCACATTGAGGAGATATTAACATTATGGCTGAGAAGACTGATGCACACACACAAGCTGCAATAACTGAATTGGCCAGCTTACAGTGTCAATGTACAAGTTTGGTTTGCACAGTTAAGTGCTATATTCAACACCAGGAGGATAATTTCACAAACTTCCCGATATACCTACATCGTAGAGAAGCTACCAGTGGAAGTAGCAATTGAGGTTTCAGGTCTCCTGGAGTAGATGCCATCTGATAAGCCTTATGACACCCTTAAGGAAGCCATTCTCCATAAAACTGGTCAATCTAATGAACAAAAGCTGCATGGTCTCTTTAATAACTTAAGCCTGGGACAAAGTAAGCTGTCACAACTGCTGCATAAAGTGCAAGCATTATTAGGAAGCAATACAATGTCTGGCAGTGTTAAGAAGCTGTAGTTGGACAAGCTTCAAATGAACACCATCCAAATTTTAGCTTCACTCCCAAACGAAATTGAATTACAAAGATGTTGTGACCAAGTTATGGTTAAGAAATAACAAAACAAGAGGTTGCAAATAAATAGTGTATTGAACAGTAAATACAACAGAAGTGTGTTACACGACTTGGGAGTGTGTGCTGGTTGACCAGCATTCAGTTTATATCACTATTCCTCCAAGGCTTACTTTCCTACTACTTCATAGTAAGTGGAAGAGTCCACAATAGCCTCATTAGAGAGAGCACACCACAACACCCCCACTTTTCAGCCGGACTCTGCATGGAGTCTTTTTTTTTTTTATCATTAATACACAATACTTTATTCTACCCTCCACAAAAATTAAAAAATCAGCAACAACTACTTTGAAAAAAAGCTATATGTATTTTTTTTTGATTTCGACATGCATTTCACATGTTAACAGTAGTCTCTATTCATTATACCAAAATAATGAAAAAAAATTGGATGGTAAATCCAATGAGTATTGTGTTTTCTGGTAATTCAAAAGTTTATATGCGAGGAGAAGGGTTTTTTCTCATTTTCTCTTTTCTTTTTCTGTCGTCATGGCATGAAATGAAAGATGTTCAATATTTTTTCCTTTTCAGGTTGACTTCTAAAGGTTCTGTGAACTTCCTTTTCCTTTTGGGCCTTCTGAGCTCTGGTACTGATTGTGGTATTGGAACCTCGAATGTATCAAAAATGATGTCCATGGTGTCATTTTCTATGGGATCCCTGTTGATTATGCTTTCAAACCTTTTTCTGATTTGGTTAACATGACATTTATGTACAAACTTCAGTCCCTGAATCATTTACATCATGTTCCCAATTTGTTTGTCAATTATTATCCCTATCTCCCAGTGAGATTTGTTATTCCCAAAATTAACGAAAATAAACCTTTTTGCCAATTCTAAAGTGCTTAAGAAGCACTTTATTCTTATTA